AGATGCTCTCAGCCCATCTCGTTTGCTCCCTAGATTTTGCCAAAGGATCTGACTTTGCTCCAGCGTACACAGCCCTCAAGAGTACGGTCTCAAGAGTAGCTGAGACAGCTCTAATTACTCTTATTTCTCCTTCACTGCAGTTTTTGACCAGCTGGATGTAGTTTCGTATGAGGAGGTGGTGAGGCTGCCTGCCTTCAAGAGAAAGACACTGGTGCTCATAGGTAGGTCCTGCTCCTGTCCTCCTGCACGTGGTGGGGGCTGTGGGGAACCAGGGCTGGGGTGGTGCTGCCCTTCAAAAGCTGGTAAGCACTGGGGGGCATTTCTTCTACCTGCAGCGATTGCCAGGCAGGGTAATATCTGCCACGTGGTATTGTGCATGTGGTCTGGCACCTGCACTCCAGTGCTGAGGAGTTATTTCAGGAGAGTTTCTGGCTCCTAAATGTCTTTATGGTCTGTGCAGCTGCACCAAAGTCAGCACTTCCATGCTGAGGGTGTAGCTGCTGATGGAGCTCCTGGTCTAAGCAGTTCAGCCTGCAGGCACTGTGAGAGTACCTAGGGCAGGGAGACCCTTCTCCAGGGCTGGAGAACAGCACAGAGGTTTGCACCTTCTCTCAGGCACTCCTCAGCCCAGCTCATGTCCATCCCTCTTTCCCTGTAGGGGCCAGCGGAGTGGGTCGCAGCCACATCAAGAATGCTCTGCTCAGCAACAACCCTGAGAAGTTCATGTACCCCCCACCATGTAAGTAACATAACCTGGTGAGGGCATGCAGCACTACCCCAGCACATTTCCTCACCTCCTCTTCAAGCCACCCGGTGGGATGGGAGGTGGGGAGATGTTCTTCCAGCACCATGAAGCCTTGATGTCACAGGGCACCAGACAAGGCCCTGCAGGGTCTCCCTGCCTCCTGCCCCATGGGCTGAACTTACCCAGAGATGGCCGGGCTGCTACTGCCTGCATTGCAGACACCCCATCCCACTGCAGCACCTGCAGCTCTCCTCACACTGCCCGCATTGCCTACTTGTCCCTTTTAGGATGGAGTTCCAATGGGATTGGTAAGCCTCATTTTGAGGTACATAGGTCTTCTGTGCTCCTCCTTACCCCAGCCCCAAGCTCAGAAAGGGTTCATAAAGGCCCCAGGTTGGCTCCCTGGCCTTCTGGAGGTCAGCACCTGGCTGAGGGCGTTGTGCATTTTTCTCCCTCTGCAGACACCACACGCCCCCAGAAGAAGAATGAGGTGGATGGGAAGGACTACTACTTTGTTTCCACTGAGGAGATGACCCGGGACATCTCAGCCAATGAGTTCCTGGAATTTGGAAGCTACCAGGGAAACATGTTTGGCACCAAGTTTGAAACAGTGCATAAGATCCACCAGCAGGACAAAGTCGCTATTTTAGACATTGAACCCCAGGTAGGAAGCAAGGGAAGTGGTGGGGCAGAACAGGGACTGCTGCAGAGCGGGCAGCCCTTGTGTGTGCTGTGACCGTCCCTGCACCCCTGCCCTTCCCCAGGCTGTACCATTGCCCTTACATTGCCTTACTGCCCCCAGGCTCAGGGGTCCACAACCTTTTCAGCCCACTGTTGCACCACAGACACCAGTGAATCTTGGCTGGGGGAAGTAGGGGCAGCCACCTGCCAGCTTGCCACGTTCTGATAACTGCATTCTGCTCTCTTTCCAGACCTTGAAGATTGTCCGCACGGCAGAACTCTCCCCATTCATAGTCTTCATTGCCCCAACAGACAAGGCAGAGGAGGTGGGTTGGCACAGTGGTGGCTGCAGCTCCCCAGCATGGGGCAGGGGGTGGCAAGGAGCCCACGGGGGACAAAAGCCTTGTAGCAGTCCAGGGTAGTGAGAATCAGCTTCTTCCTATTCAGATTGGTTTCTGTGGACCAGGAGAACAGTGTAACTTTATCAGCCCAAACCTAAGAGACAGGACTTGGATATTCCTGCAACCTTAGGCTCTCTCCCAGAGGGAGATCCCCAGCAAGCTCCATCCCTAGAGGAGCACAATTAGTCCCAAATACACAGCTGGATGCACAGCCCAGCACCAAGGGCTGCCTGTAGCTGCAGCAGTACTGCAGAGCAGGAACACGTACCCTGCCATCAGCTGTGCAAATGGGACACACAAACAGCAGAGCGTTTCATTCTTTAGCTCATTGAGATGCTCACCCCTCCAAAATTAGGATGAAGCAGTACTAATGCTGCACAGTGCTGAGCACAAAGCTGTTGGCTGCATACTTCTGTTTCCCAGAGACAGAGCAGTTCTGCCTCTGCTATGCCACCTCCACCAGGAGAAAAGGGGAGACAGGCAAAGCCCCAGAGCCGTGCTCCTCCTGGATGCACAGCCAGCCAAGGCATTCTCTTCAGGCTGGGCTGGCCCAAGCCAGTAACTGGGGGCTTCATAAAGCTTGTAGTACAGGCAGCAGCTGGCATGGGGAATATGTGTGTAGCATCATGAAAGTAGTTGGAGACACATCAATATGTCAAGTATAGTAAAGCCAGATGGAGCAGGCAGGTTCCGGGTAGAAAAGGCAGTGAGGCAGCCCTCTCCCTTACTCCATGCCCCATCAACAACTGCTGCCTGCAGCCCCAGAACACTGAATCCTGCCGCAGTGGGCAGGGCCAGCTCTGCTGCTGCACACTATATATAGCGAGCTGCTGCAGCTCAGGTAACTGCTCGCGGGAGGGGACACAGCAGTGCCAAAATGTGACTTAGCAGAGCTCACATGACCCAGGCAAACTGCTTAGTGCTCTCCTTCCTCTACTCTGCTGACAACTGAGCAGCACCCAGCAGCACTGCAGTGAGCACATCTTCCCCCCCCCCCCCCGGTGCAGAAGCTGCAAGCAGTCCAAACTTCATGAGGGAGATGCCTGGAATTGGGTCTGGACCCAACTCCCAGGGTGACCCTGTTAGCTACAGAGGTGGGCAGGAGATGAGGAGCAGGCAGCTTTGCTGGGCCATGCTGAACACTCCCTACTTTTGGGGCTGTTGTGGTGGAGAGGGATCGTCCTGCAGGGATCCTACCTTCAGCCCAGCCTCTTGCCATGCAGTAGCAATGAGCAGCCTGCTGCAAGGTGGATCCCAGGGAGCTGCCACGAGGTATTTTAAATTAGAATACAAGACCAAACGGCCCTGACCTCACTAGCATGTAACCTGAGGCACCCAGCATTGCATCAAAGTCCAGCAAAAATCCACTTCAACTCCTGTGTTGCCGCATGACAGCTCTCCTGGCCTGTTAGATGAGATGAGGGTGTTCTGTATTCTGGTACTTGGTAACTGTTCTGGGGATGGGACAAAGCAAGCCTGTTGGGATGGGCTGTGAAATCACCCTCCTCCTCAGCCTTCTGAACACTTTTGCTCTTTTCTTGCAGTCAGAGGCTTTGCAGCAGCTCCGCAAGGATTCAGAGAGCATCCGGAGCAGATATGCACACTACTTTGACCTCTCAATAGTCAACAATGGAGTGGAGGAAAGCCTCAAGCTGCTGGAGGAAGCCTTTGAGCAGGCCTGCAGCTCCCCGCAGTGGGTGCCTGTCTCCTGGGTTTACTGAGGGCATCCAGCCCCCATTGCTTCCTATCAAAGCATCCTGCAGCTGTGGGGAGCAGAGAAACCTCCTCAGCTTCCCCTGACCTACACCCAGCCCAGCACAGCTCCCTTCCTCTGCTGCTCCATGGACACAGTCTCAATTGGCCAACACTCACAGGGTCTTCAGAATGCCCCCGCCAGGGAATGCAGGACAGAGGCTGCCCAGTGAAATACGGTGCTGTAAGTGAGAGGTAGCAGGAGAGCCCAGGGCATCCTGACAGTTCAGAGCACAGCCCCACCTTGCCTGCTGAGGCAAAGCACAACCCTCCTGCAGCACCCAGCCCATCTTATTCTCTGCATCAGCCCCAGGGAAGCAGTACAGCAGCCACCTTCCAGGCAGAGGTCTCCTGCCTCTGCAAGAGCATACATGGCCCTAAACACCTTGAAAGCCTGGCAGGTATCAGCGAGGCTTCCCATAGCACACCAGAGCTCCTCAGCCTAAGGGCTTCCTCTCACAAACCAGAAGGCAAGCGTGGGTTTGACAGAAGCACAGAGCACGCCATCCCAAGGCATGCTTCCTGCCTGCATTCTGAGGTTCAGGTGGTCTGATTCACCCTGTGCAACTGTAGTTGTAAGAACTCCCTGCATTTAAATTCTCACCGTGCAGCTTGGATTGTTACCAGCTGGCCAGAAAAACTCTGCAGCAGCTGAGCAAGTCCTGTGGACCAAACCTCTGAAGGACAGTTCGATACGTAGAGTAGATCCAGCCACAAGCATCTGTTGCATGCAGTACAAACTGTCTCCTCAGTGATCATCCAGGCATGTTTCCTAGAGTGTAGGCTGTCCCACACACTGTATGCTAATGTAAAAACACAAAGGAGTTCCTTAAGCTGGAATGTAGTGACACACAAGCTCCACCATGACCAGGAAGCATCACCGTGGCCCCTGGGCAGACCATACCCACGTAGGTGCAAGAATGTTATGTGTGTTCAGCAGTCAGCTGGGGGAAGGGGTTTAACAAGTCTCGTGCAAATTGTTTTCTTTTTTTTTCTTTTTTTTTTTTTTAAAAAAGAAGCCAAAAATAAAATCTGTTGATGTGCAATAGGGACCTTTGTTCTGATCCACTGCAGGGAAACGACGAGCAGCAATAAACGTGTGCTGAAACATTGCCACGAGTGGTGTGTTACCTCAGCCTGAGCACAGGTGGACAGCTGCTCCCACCTCCCTGAGCTGGAGGCACCAAGGTAAGGCAGGTAGGACCAAAAAGCTCTCCAGGTGCTGCCAGACTTCTCCAGGACAAGTAAAGCAGAAAAGCAGTTAGCTTGCAGGCACATCCCACTGGCTTTTACCCCCAAACACCTCCATTGAGTGCCCTATGCACCTACAGCCTGTGCATGTTTACTGACTGCCCTCCCCCTGAACAGACCTGGTGGTCTGAGAACAGTTCCCTTCTTGAGGTAAGCAAGAAAGTCACCCATTCAAAAATAGGGCTTTTATTATTTTTTTTTTTTTTAATGTAAAAAAAGAGTGAATAAAAATTAACTTTTTTCAACCCAGATTCTGACAGCCATTGGTTGCTGTCCACACTGACTGCATCTCTAGCATTGAAGGGAAAAGTCAGATGATTAAGACAAGAGCAATTCAGGAGGCTAAGACAGATGTTATAGGATCTCTGCAGAGAGCTCAGAACAAAGCAGCCAGGATCCTTCCCTACTAAAAGCAGCTGAAATCCTGGCTCAGCACTGTTCCTCTAAGAGAAGTAACCTGCTCCCACCGAGCCATCCCAAAGAAATAGGGAGAAATCATCCTGAAATCATTCAGGCTCCACACTTAGTGCCCTGTGCATAGCTGCCAAGCCTGTGCTCACCAGCCTTGTAACATGCCCACCCACTGCCTCTGCCCCTGCAGCTGCACCCCCACCTACTGCCTCCAGAGCATATTAGATACCAAAAATCAGCAGGCAGCTGAGAGGGCTGCAGCCCCATCCCAATAATTTGGTTGGAGCCAGCACTGGCAACATCACTGGGGGACCCTGGGTCTGGGATCAGCTCACAGCTAACAGGCAGGTCCCCACACTAAAAAGCAAAAAGCAGGAATTTCACGTTCGAATCCTTTTATGATAAAGTTGGAAAGAGGTACCAAAGAATGGACGTTTGTTCTCAACTAGCTGAGGGTCAGGCCAAGTACACAGCCACGTTAAAATCAACCACAGCCCCTCAAATAACCGATTCAGCTGTCTCCAAAGGTGCCAAACCCAGATGGGCCATGGCTAAGCCAGTCCTTCAGACACAAACACATTCTGTAACTGTCGGGTAACAGTTTCGACCTTGGAAGAGGAGGAAGAAGCAGGAGAAGAGAGAAGGGAAAGTGCTATTCCTCTCTTTCATGGTGAAAACAAACCCCAAAGAGCAAGGAGCCGCATCTTCCCTGAAGATACCACTTCAGTTGGCATCGAGGTGTCCAGCCTTACAGAGCAATTCAGCGCAGGGGCAGTCAGGCACCACTCTCCTCTGGCTACCCTTAAAACAGGATGAGGAGGGGTGCTGGAGCAGGGCATGTCCTGGGCAAACAGCTTCTCACTCATACGCACAGCAGAAAAGGAGCTTGGAACTTGCTGGCCCCTCAGCTGCACAGGCAGTCCTCTTTTTCAAGGCCTCAGACTTCTCCCTCCCTAATGATGAGGTCGCATGCTTTGGACAGATCCAGTTGCTTACTCTGAGCTCTCTTCCACCTCCTTCTGTTTCTTTTTCTTCTTCTTCTTCTTGGTGCTGGTTTCACTGATCTGCAAAGAGGATCGAGTTCAGGAATCAAAAAGGCACCACTCACTGCTCATTTCAGGAAGACAGTCCAGCCCACACGCAGCTAATGCAGCACTGACAGAAATCTCTTTCACCTCACATTCTTTCACACACAGCCCCAGGTGTCCAAACACCACACACACACTTTTATCCCAGGTGCACAACAGACAGCAACTCTTCCCAATGCTTGAACCATTCCATGGCAGCACCATTACATACCACTTCGATTTGTTCTTCCCCACTCTCAGATGCTTCTTTGGCTTTCTTTTCTTTCTTCTTCTTTTTCTTCTCCTTTTTGCTCAGCTCCTCTGGTGGTGGAGTGGCTGGGGATGGTGGGGGGCTCGCAGCCTCATTTTCACTCTCTGACTCTCGCTTCCTCTGTTAGGAGAGCACACTGTCAGACCATTTTCCAAACGAGCTCAAGTGATGGAAAAGCTGTTTACAAGCCCATCACAACTGCTTTTTTTCCCTGATTGAAACTTCTCAGTAAGCAACACTTGGAACAGGAGTGTGAACTACAGACTGCCAGAAGTCCCTGCCAACATACAGCATAAGGATTCCTTTCTGCCAGAATTACACCCCAAACTTCTTAAGTGTTCCCTGTACCCCAAATCCTTTTATTTGAAACACTGCTGCACTACATGCAAGCCTTGACTTAGACCCTTATATCAGAGCAGAGGTCCTAACTCAGGGAACTCTATGTACAGTGTTTGGGTGGACTCCTCAGATGAACATTCAGTCTGTAATCTCCAGAAAGGCTCTCTGGCACAACGACCTGGCACTGTAGCTCCATCCAGTGTATTTCTTTGGATGCTGCAGCTTTTACAGTACTCCTCATTCCCACTTATGGTGCTGCAGTATTCATATACAAAGACAGGGACCGAAAGGACAGAGCAATGGAAGCACTCTCTGCCCTCACAGAGACAGGTTCTACCACAGAAGCACAAGATCCAAAGCAGCCTTCAGAGCCCAAACAACCTCAAACCAGAGAGCAGCATTACTTACTTTTGGAGCCCTTTCCACTTCTGACACAGCCTGGGGAGCTTTAGCTGCCTCTTTCTTGGACGACTCCCTAAAAGAGAAGAGATCTCAGGCTGAGTGGGACTGCAGCTGCCTTCCATAAGTACAAAGGCCCCTCCACAAGGGCTCCCTTACCCACAACAGGCATTGGTTGGGGGGGGGGTCAGTGTGGGGACGACCTGCAGCCTGCACCAGTGCCAGCTGGACAGGACAACAGCAAAGCCTCCCCCTCTTTCATTTAGCAGACTGACTCCCTCTAGAGCCACAGGCACAGGCTACAGAGGGATAACCGTCTGCTCGGGGCCTTTCACTCCAACCTGGCAGAGCATCAGCACGTTCCCAGTGACTTTGAGGAACACAGCTAAACACCAAGGGTCCAGATAGCAAATTCACCTTGGAGGAGGTCTTCCACGCCAAGCACAAAAGGCAGTGCCCAGAACAGTGCTCACAGCATGCATCCCATCACTGCGCCCCCCACTCTGAAGCTGCACACCCTGTACCCACCTGTAATCCACGTACTCCTTCTTCCAGGAATCTGGTGTGCACTCATTGGGCTTTCCATGTTTGTCCAGCAGGCCCTTCTGGATCATCATCTTCTTTTGACTGGCCTGACAGCAAAGGGCAGAAGGTCAGACCCCAGCTCCATGAAGGAGAAAACATCCCTTGGGCTTCAGCTACCCACTCTAAGGAATAACGTAGGAACAAGCCAAGGCAACAACTGCATTGTCACCAGCTTAACCATTCTCTAAGGACCTTCTGACAGCTCACAGGAAACACCCACTGCAACCTACAAGTCTCAGACAAGGAACAGGCAGAAGGCATCCTAACTTTAATTAAGGGCTGATTTGTGAGAGAAGTAACAGCAGCAGACAACTGTGTATCACTGAACTCAGATCCTTGGCCATAATCATTCCTCCAGCTTAATGACCCACTACATTTCAGCTGAAGCACTGCAACTGCACAGCTCCTTTCCCCTCCAGAGCCATCAGCATGGGGTGATAGATGAAGGTCATCTTTGCACAGAGTGCTAATGCCAACCAGTTGACATCATTTGGCTCTTGACCACAGAAGGGCTCAAGCACAGACCTGAGGTGCCTGCAGCCCCACAACTGGGCACCCACCAACACCACTGAGTCCCCAGCTGCTCACCTTGGGACCGAGGCCCCATTTGCGGGGATATGTGTCTCTCTCCATGATGACTCTCTTGATCTTTGCTACCACACCATGGTCGCAGGTAGAAATGACAGCAGTGGTCATCAAGGCAATGGCTGCAGAAACAAGCAGGGAGCTTACAAACACATTAAAGCAGCAAAACTGTGAGAGTACAGATGCAAGAATGTGCTGGGTTCAGGCTGTTCCTCCTTTGGCAGCACAAAAGAGAGGCAAACCACTGCCAATGCCCTATCCCCTGAAAACTCACTGGAGGAAACTTTGGTCTAAAGCTTCAGAAAGACGTCCTGCTCAAAGGCAGCGAGCTGATGTGACCACATCAGAGGCTGGAAA